CACCGGGAAGGGTTGGCAACAAAAGTGCTGTCGACATGCAAAAGTCACGAAAAGTGAAATCCCATCGAACTGGTTTTTCTGTCTCCCATTGTCGACATTTCATGGCCACCTGGCTAGCTCCCCTGTCAACAAATAAAGCAAAGCAATATGGGTCAGCATCCCTCAGTGCAGTGTTGTAGGAAGGCAGAGATGAACTCTGCGCTTCTTGGGATTCCTTCCTAGCTCTGGGAGCTCTTCAGTGCAGTGTTGTAGGAAGGCAGAGATGAACTCTGCGCTTCTTGGGATTCCTTCCTAGCTCTGGGAGCTCTCGTGCTAAGGAATGTCAAAACAGCACAGCCGTCTCTCTAGCCCTCCTTCTGCAGCAGCAGTCTGCCTGCTGCCGTGTTTCTAGTGCAGGACAGAACAGGAGCATTCCACAGATTTGCTCTTTCTTTGTTCCCCAAACAGAGCAGCTCACTCAGCTGTCAGAAACTTCCTAGAGCTTTGAAAGGGGAGGGGCGCATGCCTGCAGGGCAGCAGAGATCACAAAACACTGAGCACAGCCTCAGGGCAGGCTTTGTGGGATACTGGCGGATACTGGGATACTGGGATACTGGTCTCAACAAAACAAAGAACAGAGTCCATACTGGCTCTTTGTCGACAATAAAGGGAGGGGGGAAAGACAAAAATTTCTCGCGGGGTGAAAGATTTTTGTCACCAAAACTGGGTATTTTTCCCCGACAGAAGTTGCATTGCAGTGTAAATGCTCTCAATGTTTTGTTACCGAAAGGCAGTTTTTGGCAATAAAACATGCCAAAGTAGACAAGAGTTTACAGATCTATAGATTTTAAGGCCAGAAGAGACAATGATGACAATCTCGTCGGCAGTCTCCTATGACACGGAGGGTGGCATACAGCCCTGGCTCAGACGACTCACCCAGCATCATGCTGTGAATCAATGATAAAGCTGGGAAGAGAACCCAGGAGTCCGGGGTCACAGTCCCACAGTCATTCTACTAGACCAGACTGTATGCACAATGGGTCTAACATAACAGATTCGCTGTAGAATTTACTGTGCTCCTATAGCTTGCTACCATGCTCCTGTATGGCTCCCTGACATATACACTCAGCCTCAACTCCACCATTCCCAGCTGCTTGGGAATAATACAGACATGGCTCCTCTTCAGTAACATTTGTTTACAGCTTCTATTTCATGCAATGACTTGTTATTTTTTATTTGTGTGGCAGTAGCACTTAGCAGCCCCCGTCCTGGACCAGGCCCTGTGGTGCTGGGTGCTGCACAAACACAGAACAAACCCCTTTTGTGGCCTTGCTCCCCGAGGCAAGCCTCACGACACAGCAGGCAAGCTGAGTGACTCCCCCTGCCCCCAAGGCCAAATCCTCACATAGCAGAGGCAACACCATTCACTGGGAAGAAGCCAATCGGAGACCTCGTATGTGCCGGTGCGAACATGTAGGATCCCCTGGGAGTTCACCCCACCGCTCAGTGATTGGCTTCATTGTGTCTAATGAGCTTTTAAAACCCTGTCTGGGTGGCAGGTCTGCGCGTGAGCCCGTGTGCGCCCATTAATCCTCTTTACTCCAGCCTGGATTTAATTCATCATTAGGTTTGGATGAGTAATTTTATCCTGCAACACAATTCAAGGTGATAGATGAGATCGCGAGCAGGTGATTGTCCGGGTGCATCCCCCTCCCATTCTGCCTCCCCTGAAGAGCGTTGTCTGCCAGGCCGTGCAATGAGATTTACGGCTGTTCCAATGCCAGGCTGCCACCAGGCTGAGCAGGAAACAGAGATCTCAACTCGTGCCAGAGGCTGGTGGTGGGTGTTGGACCCAGATAGTTCTCTGCTAGTTGACCCAAGTCCCAAGCAAAGTGGCTGGGATCCAGAGACCACTAAACAAAGCTCTTCCCACCCAACCACCCAAACTCCACCTCCCTTGCTATAGGCTATACCTCGCTTGTATGTGCAGGAATCTGCTTGAAAACAGAGGAATTCCAGAGCCATAGACCCATGGGATCAATGTCCCGTCCAAGACTCCCCCCGGCCATCACTGCTTGAGAGAGTCCACATGGCTGTTAGATGACTAGGTCTCAGAGAGGGCTTCCGCCTTCAGTCTGATTGATGGCAGGCTGATATGGGGTCCTCAAACAAGATCACTCCCACCTCCCGAATCTGCACAAGTGTCAGGCAGACTGTGGCCTTTAGCACCCATGTCAGATGAACAGGTGGGGGCCCTCCCTTGGCAAGGCCCATGGCAGACAAAGGGAAGAACCTTCCCAGCCTGTTGATTCCCATGGGACAGTTCACTAGTAAGGTAAAATGTTGGGCCCTTTTCAAAGGGACTCAAGAGAGAGACAAGAAATGCCAGACCAGCCTGGCAACCAACAGGTAAGGGATGAGGATGGGACCCAACAACTGCATGCAGAAATGCAGGAAGACTTGCTCAAATCCACCCCTACAGCCAGCTACCGCCACGCCAGATTTCTCTTCTTTCCCGTTGGGCATGCAGGGAGACTTCCCACAAACCAGAGCTAACACAATGACGGCAGCCAGGCAAGGCGGGCGCGAAATAGCCTCTCGGAGCTTCCCTGCATACAGCTCTGCAGATGTTCTTACACCTGAGCAGCAGAGCTCCCTGCTACCCTAGCCCCGGGGGCTGCCTGAGCACAGATGGTCAGCTGTGCCGGTGATTTCAGATGTGGATAAGCGTTTGTCAAGGGACGGAATTGAACCATCAACCCCTTTGCTTCCAAGTTTGTGAGCTGAGACTTGGGATTTAGTCTGCGGCAGAGAAAGGCTAGTCCACTCCAGTGCGCCGTGCCCTCAGCCAGGCGGAGACGTGTCGCTCCCCCACGATTTTTACACGGCACTCATCACTGAGGCATTCCAGCTTTGCAGAGTTTCGTGGCACTCCGTTAGATGCCTAACCATAAATCCTGCCTTGGGAACACTTGGCCCCACTTACCATTCCTCCGCCGCCCCACTTGGACTTGAAAAGGGACTTTTCAGTTGGGTGAGCAAAGGTTTTAAAAGCAAAAGAACATCTCGTGCCTCTGGGCTAAGCTGTGCTCTCTCTCGTCCCTGTGCATCTCCAGCACAGGTTGGCGAGGTTGCTCTATTAACCCGGCATTGATCTCTTAGCACACATGGGAGGAAACAATTTTAAAAAATATATAAAAAACCCTTCCCCCTGACTTTGAATTTGTATCAAATAAAGAGAGAGAGAGAGATTCCTGCAAAGCAAAAAAGCATCTGTATGTGGGAACACCTCTGGCATCGAGTCAGTAAAACATCTTCCCCCCTCCCCGGTGAGCCGAGAGAGTAAACGATGGTACTGACAAAATGATGAAGCGATATCCCCCGAACAATGAGCCATTGTGTGCAATAGGAGTCAGCGCGGAGCTGGACTTGGCACCGGCTCTGCCTACTGGAAGTTCTCTGGCACAGGAAGGAAGCTCTGCTCACCCCCTCCAGCACTCTGCATATCTTTAAGCTCCGCCGAGGTCCTAACCCATCAATATCTAATCACAGCGAGCTGTGCAGGGCGCCAGGCCTGGGTGGGCTGGAGTTTCTCCCGCCTCCCCTTTCCGCTGTATTTTTTAACCCTCCCTTGCCCAATCAGACGTGTTGCAGCCATGGGCAGTTACACTGGGAGTCTCAGAATAGCACGGCGTGCTGCTCTGGAAACGGTGCCTTCCATCTAAGGATAGCACAGTGCTGTACTAGCGACGATGAGTGTAGCCCTCGCCATAGTCTCAGAAAAGTCAACACACTGTGGTGTGAGGGGGAAAGACTGCGCAGACTGACGAGAACAGAGGCTGATGATGGCAGATGTGCCAACAGCTACCAGGGGGGATTTACACACACACAAATGCAGTCTCTGCAAGTTAGAGGAGGAAAACGTGGACACTTATGGCCCAGGACTGGGATGTCTCGTAACACCTTCAGCTTCTGGTGGGATTGTGTTGCAGATGACAAAATGTATCATTAATTCAGGGATCCTCAGGGAATCCAGATCTTCAGGTGAAGCAATGTGTTAGGATATGTGAATATTCATCAGCCCTTAAACATGGTTTTTTCTTTATGGCCAACTACATATTTCTTTCAGATAATGGGCTACATTTCAGCCCTGGTGTAAACTAGACTCAGTTCCCATTGCCAGCCGTTGGCTTTGGGCCTGCATACACTGGGACTGGATTTGACCCACGGTCTTTTCTGGAGTGACAATGACTTGCACTGGTCAGTTAGGTTAATCACAGGTGTGCACTCCCCAGGGGTATCTCAACACTGTAGGTGTATGTTGGTTAAATATTACTGTAAGCTCAAGAGGTTGGTGACATTAGCAATTAGATACGACTGTCAGACAATAAACCAAAGGGCTGGTGTTCTGGTGTCTGTTCAAAAGTGCCAGTCTAACTTCATCTCCACATCCCCTCCCTGCCCAGTACACTGAATCTCAATGGACTCTTTTTATTCTACATCTTTCAGGTAAGATGGAGCAGGTGCTGCTAACCGTGTCCCAGGAGAGCTCTCATTAAAATCATTTTAACCCACTTGACTCCCCCCTTCAACCTGAATGAGATCCCAGAGAGAAAATGTGCTCTGCTACAACACCAAACTAGGCTATTCTGAGAGCAAAGTGTCAATATTTACAAATCTGCATCATTCCCATTGCTGGAATTCTAAAAGCACATGCATGGATCACAGTGAATCGTCTCTTACAGCTTTCGCTTCACTCCCAGTTTTAAAGTGAGCTTTCTTATCCACACCCACACAGGACCTCCTGCAGGTGTACGTGAGCCTGAACAAACACATGCAGAGATACAAATGCACGTATACATGTAAAAGCGTGTACAAATGCGCACCCACATGCAGGCAGAGCCAAGCACACACGTATGCATAGCACACATTAACAAGTTAACTTGCCTGCACATGTGAAGCTGTACTAATGCACACACAAGTAGACACACTCACATATTGACACATGCAGAGACACATACCTGCTTGCTCCTGTAGACATGCATGTTCTCTCACGCATCTGTATTCTCTGCTTTTGCAGCACAGTTTTTGGCTCCATCACTTTCATCTCACGAGTCCAGAATGAGTATAGTGAACAAACCTCGGGGGGATCAGTATGGGAATCCAAGACCCTTGGATTGTAGCTGTAGCGGGCCAAGCACATGAATACATCCCAACAACAGCTAGCAGTTGTATAGCCGTCACTTTGCACCTGCAATTAGTTGGACACAAAGGCCTGCATTGTTTGGTTGGGTGGTAGGTAAGGGTGGCCCCATTTTACAGACAGGAAAAGTGAGTCAAAGAAAGGTCACATGACCTTTCAATCCAAACAATGAGTCGGTAGCGGAGACGGTATTGAACTCCAAGGCTCTTGTTTTTCACTCCCCTGCTCTGACTACTAGTCAGCGTTGCTTCCTCCACAGGCTTGACCCCTCCAGACACATGCCTATACAGAGACTCACCCTTTGCTGCACTTGATTATTTAACCTTCTAGTTCTTCCCAGGTACAGGCATTTGTGCCCTACACTGGCATCTCATCACCCCCCAGCAACCACCTTCTGAAGCACGCGGTCCCTAGGGCCTCACCAGCACTGTGCCTGTTGCTAATATGCCATGTAAATAACTACAGCAAAAAGCACTTTCAGTGCTCTCTGCCATCTCCACCAATGCCCCAGGGTGGTCTGGGACCCCAGAGCCCAGAAATGGGGTTGCAGTGGCCATTTCTTACCCTGCAGTGCCCCTCATGGCCATCTCAGGAAAGAGTCGTCGTGGATCACAACTGCAGGAGCCCACGGTGACTGGCCTGCTGGCTCGTTTGCAACCTCTTCACAAAGGCCGTTGTTTCACCACAGAGGAAAGAGACCAGAAGCTCATTGGACAAGGGGGCCCTTCATCCCGTCTCTCCCGCTCTGCAGCTGACAGAGGACCGGTCCATACGGAGCAGTGGAGAGTCCCAGTTCTCAGTCATTAGTAACTCAGCATGAGAGGCAGGCCCCCCAACAGGGGGAGGCAAAGGCGGCAATTGCCTCTGGGGCTGGTGATCCCAAGGGGCCCAGGGATCCTGACTGCTGCCACCGCTAGTGTTCAGAGCCCGGGCCCTTTAAATCACCACTGGAGCACTGCACCGTGCACGCCGGGCGGCTCTGAGGGGGCACAGGTGAACCATGCTCTGAGCAGCACAAAGGGTTGCTGGGGGGCTGGCATGATGCACTCACTGCCTGGTCCTGGCCCTTCCCGGAGCAAGGAGCTGGATGCCCCCCCCCCTCCCCTTGCCTGGGGCCTTGTGGAAGGTGTCGGCTCCACTGTGAGTGGGTACCAAAGACCCGCTGTCTAAGCAGCATGTGGCAGAAAAAAAATCACATTCCGTCCCTTGGCCTCTTCCAGGGCTCAGACTCAGTGCTCTCGCCCCCTCAGTTGTAATGTCGCCCAGCGATGAAGCTGGGGAGAAAGAAAAGCTTATTCCTTTCCCCAGAGTCAGCTCAAAACCCTCCTGCAGGTAACATGCCATCGTCACACAAGACAGATGCTTCCCCATCCATGCAACTGAAGGAAGAGCTGTACTCAAGGGCTATGTCTACACTATAAGGTTTTTGTGCAAAAATGTCCATTTTTGTGCAAAAACTGCAGAGTGTCCACACCTCAAGCACATTTTGGTGCAAAAAAAAAAAAAATACAGTAAATCGACAGAACAGGGGACTTTTGCTGGTAGAGTTATTCCTCTCCCCACAAGGAATAACTCCTTTTTGCGCTACAGTTCTTGTGCAAAAAGGCACGTGTGGACACTCCGCAAGGGTTTCTTGCGCAAAAAGAGCCTATCAGAAAAAGCACAGATGCTCTGATGGCCATTCTGTGAAAAATGGCCATTCTCTAAAAAGTTATCATTCCCCCAACCCTGGATGGCCATTGGCCCAGGGCACCAGTTTAATAGTACTGTGTTGGGCCCCGTAGATCTTTAGGACAGCCCTGGGACACAGCACTGCCAGAGGCAGCTTGAGTTGGCTGGGGCAATGTCATGTCCAAGGTAGAATGGGAAGCCGCTTCATGCCTACTGGTATCCAGAGCATCTCTGTCTACTGTTCATTTTACATACGCCTTCATCCCTTTGTCTTTCAGTTCTTGGCCACACCAGCGCTTTCAAGTTACTCTTACCCTCCAAGAACGCTGGGCGGTGCACAGTGCTCCTGTCCACAGCAGGATGAGAGAGCGCCAAGAAAAGAGGCTTGTCCGAGTCTTGTGGCCACATCTTAACTGAGAACCCAGCGCCGATTCACTGCCTGCATCTCTCCCTCTTGCATTGGAACTGTGTGTCCAGCAGAGTCACAGCCTGCAATGAAAGAGGTACACCACCTCAGCCATGGAGATCATTTGCAGAGGATGCATTAGACAAGAGCATACAGGTACCAGGTGACAATCGTTAACAGTCGTTTCAGGGCTGAGTGTATACTTCGTGCTATATGGGACACAGAGGAAGAAAATCCTACTCCAAGGTCAAGTGGGACTTAGTTTGTGTACAGCCCTGGCACTGGGCTCCTTGTACAGGGATGCATTTTACCTGGGGAAGGAGAGCGCATTCTAAGTGTACATGACAAAGGACAAATGAGGGTAGGATGAAAGCAGGTGACAGAGGGAGAAGAGGGGCAGGATTCACTAGTGGAACAAAAAGAAGAGACACAGGCATATTATAATTATATTTTACTTTAGATTTTAAAAAATACCCTGCTGGAAGTTCTGGAGTTTTCCAGCAATTTTGCCCTTTTAAATTCACTTTTGCCTTATGTTTCAAAACAGCCAGTGTGATTTTCTATGATTTATGTCCTAGCCGGGGCCCCACTATTGTTGATTAATTATCAGCTGCACAGCACTGTGGGAAACCGATGTTCTTGGTCACTGCAGAACCAGCAAAGAGAGCACTTTAATTGGAAGGTTTTTATACAGTAAATTAGTGTTACTAATAAAAAGTGCACAAGGCTGCCATGTAGAGTTTGTGTTGGTCCTACCCAAAAAGTGACTCCAGTTTCAGAAAGGGGAGGGCAAATTAAAAGGTAGAGAGATTTAGAATCTGGGGAATGTTCACTACCACATTATAAAAATTTAAAAATAGCTCAAATGCACCGTCTAAATTAACTGAAATTAGCCCTGCTGTGTGCCTTCATTTCTCTTCTTGCAAAATGGGTGTAATAAATACCTGCCTCCCAGGGCTATCGTGTAAATTAGTTAGTGTTTGCAGAGAGCTTGGAAGACAAAATGGAAGGATTTACCCGCAAAGGCCAGACAGAGAGTCTAGAGCAAGTCAAAGACAAAGAACCAAAAGTTAGACAAGAGCATGTAAAGCCACAGCCATTGGGGTGAAACCTTCATGGGAAAGGGCAAGGAGAGGTTGAGTAATAACAGAAGAGTAGACCTGGAGCTTCAATAACCATTTAAATTCCTCCATCTGAAAACGCTTTGCATGAGGTGGGTGTGAACCATTCTCCTTGGGTATGTCTACACTACCACCCTAGTTCGAACTAGGGTGGTTAATGTAGGCAACCGGAGTTGCAAATGAAGCCCGGGATTTGAATTTCCCAGGCTTCATTTGCATATTGCCGGGCGCCGCCATTTTTAAATGTCCGCTAGTTCGGACTCCGTGCCCGCGGCTACACGCGGCTCGAACTAGGTACTTCAGATTAGACTTCCTATTCCGAACTACCGTTACTCCTCATGGAACGAGTCTCCAGCAGATCCCAGGCTCCGTGCAGCATTTCCCCAGAACCCAGGGTCTGCTGGAAATGCCTCTCAGAACCCGGGGTTAGCTGGGGAATCCCCAGCTGACTCCTGGCTCCACAGCGCTTCGGAGTTTCAAAGGGGCAGCACCACACAGATGAGCCATGGATCAGCTGTGCGGCGGCTGCCCCTTAGAAATGCTGCCTTGGGGTTTCAAAGTGGCAGCGCCGCACAGCTGATCCCCGGCTCAGCTGTGCTATGCTGTTTCTTTGAAGTACCCCTTCTTTTCCCCCTCCCCTGCCTGCTGCCTGTATCTGATAGAGGCAAGCAAGGAGGGGAAATCGACTAGTCAACTAGTCAACTGACTATCGGATAAGCATTTGCTTATCGGGCAGTCTACTAGTCAACTAGTCCTTAACATCCTTATACCACAGTCACTCTGATCTAGCCTCACACATTTTCAAGGGAGCAACAGAAAGCGTGGGTTAACCAGGGATGAGCATGGTGAGGCTGTGAGGAGAGACAGGGTGATCGGGGAATTAGAAAGTGCTCTGGAAGGGGAGTAGGATTCAGTGAGCAGCAGCAAAAGATTCTTTAGCAGTGGGATGGGCTGCAGGGCCGAGAGCTGTGTGCAATCTGCAGCGTTCACACAAGGGGAGGGTTAATGAAACAGGACTAGGGAACAGAGCACACCAAATCCGAGCTGACATTCTGGCTACGGGGACCTCTCCAGGCTGGGGAAAAACCCAGCAAACTCACTAGGTTCTATTTTCTCCCCTGCCTGAGGACAGGCTCTGGGGTGGACCTTCACCTTTAATCTCATTGCCTCGTTTGGACGGAGCATGTCTGCAGCAGGGCCGAGATGACACAGGGCTGGTTTGTCTGAAAGCCTTTGAATGAACCCCGGGTTCTCCTGCTTTAATCCCACAGACGCCACACACTCAGCCACTTGCAGCCGGTTCTCCCAGGGTACCCAAAAAGGGGCTGTTCACAGCGTTTCAAAGGAGGTACAAAGAAGGGTGCATCTTTGCAACTAACGGAGCGCTTAATTCGAACTAGCTAGTTCGAACTAGGCTTAATCCTCGTAAAATGGTTTTCCTAGTTCGAACTAAGCGCTGTGTAGCCCCTTAATTCGAACTAGTGGGAGGCTAGCCCTCCCCAGGTTTCCCTGGTGGACACTCTGGCCAACACCAGGGAAACTCTTCTGCCCCCCTCCCGGCCCCGGACCCCTTAAAGGGCTACGGTGCCCGTGCCAGGTGCAAGCCTGCCAGCACCCAGCCAGCAGACCCTGTACCTGGCACGGATCGAGCCACACACCCGATGCCCCCCAGCCCTCCCCCTCTTCCCGGGACCAGGCTGGCGGCTCCCGGGAGCTTGCCC